TTGTATTGTTCTGGTCTATAAATTAACCAAGTTTCATTTGGATAGAGCAATTACTGCTCGCGTAAGGGGTAAAAGAATTATTGAAAGGGGTGGCTCACCCCTTAAAAATGAATTTTTTGGAAAAACTCCAAATGCATGTCTCATAATTCTTCATTCCCTACATTTTGACGGTTGTTTCATGAAAATCGGTCGAGTGCTTCTATATGAAACAGCCAATTCACCCCCTTGCACGGCGAACTTTGAAGCCTGATTTCACCCCCTAAAGGTGTTTATCCGCCTATAAAAAAAAAACACGGGTCCCTTAGATTTTAGTCCTCTATAACATATTTAAAAATGAACAAAATCGGAGGGGGACACCTCAGGTACCTTCCTTGTAAGTCCGGAGTACCTGTCCGATCGCGAGGCTGCAAACCTCCCTATCTAAAATTCCAGGGAAATTATTCGCAAGTGGAATCCGGAGAGCTCTAGAGAGACTTTAGGAAGGGAGTCTCGCCGTTCGGCTAAAATCGAACGCGGTGAGAAAGACGACCCGATGTCGAGAGTAACACGAAGTCCGAGCCTTCGTCCAGAAGTAGCAACACGTCTCCCAAACATCGTCGCAATCTAAACAAACACTCGAGGAGACTCGATCGGCAAACGCGCCACTTTGCTTTACGCATGGCGGTAGGTTGAAAGGGAAAAAGGAGGAAAAAAAAGAAGAAGAGGAAAAGGGAAGAAAGAAAGAAAGAAAAGAAACAAAGGAGCACCAGAGAGCCCGACCACCCTTGACTATCCGTTTCCTGGGGAATCCATTCCGAACGCGAAGAGCCCGCCAAAATTACGACTTTCCTTGGCTCGATTTACGATTAAGTTACGGTAACCGTCGAGATATAAATAAGCTGATAAGGAATATGCTCGGTATCCGGAATACGAGGAAGACGAAACACCACCGGCTGTCTGGTTAATTCTCCCGATTAATTAGCCCCTCGGAGTGTGATTTAAACGCGCCCAACGATCCATGACGCGACGGCCGCGAGCCAGGGTTGGGTAAGTATAATACGTCAAGTAATACACGTGCTTTTCTACACGTATATTACAACGTATAATACGTCCCTGGTTTTCTACCCAGGCACAAAGTACATTACCCGAAACTAAATGTGCAAAGCGCATGCGCAATATAGCCAATGAGAGTCCACCTATTTACCTCTAGGAGAGATTCTCATTGGCTATTAAGGTGAAGTGAAACCCCCTTCAAATCAGTCGATTCGAATACAATACTTTTTTTTTAAGGGTATTAGACCAAACTGTCCGAAACTTTGACACATCACTCCTGATCATCTAAGAGTTGTCCTGACACATTCAAAATTTGGATTTTTTAAAAAAATTATTTAACTCAGCCCAAACCAGAACCAAAATGGCGTCGATCTCTCATATTTCGATCGATATACAATTATCGGAGGCTCTAATATGAGAATCGAAAGGGTCAGGACAATTTTACGACAATTTAGAACACTCTGGTCATCAATAAACTCGCATTTGAACGGGATAAAGGCAAAAAAAGTGTTGTATGCGCTTCTATGCTAAAACAATGGCAATACGAGGTCTCGGAGTGAAAATTTAATTGGCCTGAAAATCACAGATGGCGCAGGGGGTCCCTCTGCAGTCAATTAGGGCCCAGAAAGCACGAATCCAGAGGATTTCTGGAGTTTCACTTCGATTTCTTTATAATTATTGTACGAAAACGACAGGTGGAGTATGCCATGTGGTACAATACCCAATATAATTCGATACAGCTGTCAATATAAAAACGAACGTCGGCAACGTAGGCATTTAGAAAAATCTTCTTTATGGACGTCGATCAAGCTCCCCGTCGTGTTTCACTTCACCTTAAGGGGATTGCGCTTTACACATCCAGAAATCCGCGCACATTCGAAATCAGCCTTAGAGATTTAATATGTACGCATATATGTTGACGTTTCTTTATAACAGCTGATAACGGCTATTTGAAGTCGTAAGATTCGTAACCAATATTTGTATCAAAATGTATAAAGGTGGAGGACCAAAAAGTAAATTATGGGATGAAACAAATCGACGAGATGAATGTTTATAACCTAGCGGATACCGCATGCCCTACGTATGTCTTGTCCGCCATATTTGATACGTTTTTTTCTCTCCTCGTTTCCTACGTTTTCTACCGTAAACTACTTGATTTACGTAATATACGTGAAAAACGTGAAAAACGTCGAAAATCGTGAAATTACCCAACCTTGGCGGGAGCTTGCAATCGCTTTATACGACTCGACCGAATGCCGCAGAATCGGCGAGGGCGCGCATGCGCGATCCCGGGAGCGCGCCACTCGGCGAATACGCGAACGAACGTCCGCACAAAAGGGACGCGCCGATAAGACGCGCCGGGGGTTGAGATGCTCATTCGCGCATTTAGAACCAGTATCCGATGCGATTTGCCTGTGAGTAAGCAAAAAGAAGGCAACCGATAATTTCACGTAACGTCGACCTCGTCCGTACACGCATAAAAATAGTCGAATCGATGGACCTTATCACCGCTCAACCACGAAATACGGTTATTCGAACAAGAAGGGATTGCTTAAAAAATTCTGTTGCTCTGACAAAATTCGTTGATTAATAATTTTCATTAACAAACCTCAAATAAATCGGTCGATTGCACCAAATATCATGGTAGATTGCATAGAACATGAAATTCCGAGGGTTTAACCAAAATATTTGGCTCGTCGACCAAGGTATTTCTGAAAATCAACGAAACGTATTTAACCGATATCCTTCAGTTAATTGGGGCAAACTAATTTGGTCAAGTTAACTGAAAATCGGTTCATTCGATTGGAACGTTCACTGAAATTAATGAACGTCGATCGAACGACTTTGTTCGATATACCCAAATATTTTTCTGGATCTGGATTTCGAGAAGGATAACGGCATACATTAAGGTGATGTGAAAGTGGCGTCGAAGAGGTTTTGTTTATAAAACTTTTCCCCCAACTCGGTTTGCCGAATAGTTTGAAACTTTACAACGTGAATAGGGAGACTATAAAGCAGGTCCTGAAACTCGTGAAATTTCAATTCTTTTCAAATTTGTTTTTAGGTATTTTAAAAATAGTTTATTAAAAAAATGAATTTTCGCGAGTTTCAGGACCTACCTTAGGGTCTCCATATTCACGTTTTAAAGTATGAAACGATTTGAGACACCCAGTTCGTAGAAAGGTTTTATGAACGATTGAGCTTTCGGATGCCACTTTCACATCCCCTTAATGACGTGGCAATGTAAATTTCATGTATACGAGACGAATTCAAGAGACATTGAAAAGACTTCCAGATAGATGGTGTAATCATTTAATTAAAAATCAAAGGTTTCATAGGATCTTGAACAAGGGATTTTATGTGACACGATTCAGTGGAAGGTGAACTCCTGGACAAGACACGTTTAGCTCCATTACGGTCGAAATTGGTACAACGAAAAGTAGAAGAAGAAATTGGTACAAATAGAGGGGGTTTTTTAATTCGTGCCTATTCTTGCACCCAAGGAAGAAAGAAAGAATTTAAGCGAACAGCGCACGCAAGGTGATGTACTCGTACCTTGATCAGAGAGCGGAAAACTCGGGTCGCCGGTAACGAGCTCCGGGAAAGCAATGAGAACACTTTTCTAAATAATACCGGGCTGCGAGGAAATACCGGCGATTATTTACAGTTGGCAAAGCGATTTCAGGAAGTGCGAACGAGCCGACTTTGCCGAACCAATTCGAATCCTCGTTCTGGGGGGAGCGCGGAGGTGAAAAACTGAAAGAAACTCCTGGGTTCGTAACATCGACGGCTGACAAATTTTTAAAAACTATCCTCGAAGCTTCCTAATCCTGCTTGTTATGAATTAAGATTTTTACAGAAAAGCTCAAATTATCAAGCGATAGAAGATACACCATGCAAAAGATTATTTTCAAACTGGCATCTCCTTGAAAACTTTGAAATAACGATTCTTATGCTACGAGTCGAAGACACTTAATTTCACAATTTTACAGGTATCCTTCTAAATTACTGATAATTTATAGCACATTGTTATCTCTTCCTAAGCTTCACTTTTCCAGCATGTAACCGTTCAAAGCATCGATCGCTTCTACTGAAAGCAGCGATACGCCTGTACGTCACTAAAAGACCATCGTTGCAAATTTCACAGCGATTGACACTACCCAGAAGTGTGTTCCTCAATTAAATTCTCCTATAAACATCGAGGGTCCCTGAAAAAAGTAAACTATAGTACGAAAGTTCCATTCAATTGCAAACCTAACCTCACTTCTATATTAGACAATTTTTAAGAAGACCTAATCTGGTAACCACCTTTCAACGACACTTCGCAGTCAATTTAATCTCACTTTTTCACGAGGAACTGAAATATCTTCCGAAATACTAGCAAGGCCGTCAAAAAAATGGTAATTATCCCGAGCACGTGCAGCTGTCATTGAACTTGAAATGAATCTTAGAACGGTCGCTTAGACGACCTCCGGAAAATGTCGACCACTTGAAACAAACCTTGCCAACTCATTGTTCCAACAACCTTGGGTAAAATCCGGCCGAAAGTCCTTCATAGGAAATAAATAGGGAAATTAAAACAATCGGCGAGTGGCGTCCCGGGTGCCAGTGGTGTCGCGGGTTCCGGTTCCGGCCGCCAGATGGCAGCGGCGTCCAGTGCACTGACAAGCGGACCAAAACACGGGGGTTGCACGTCGTGCTTCGCGGCCTCCTGGACTCGCAGCGAGCTCGCGAACCCAGGAATTATCACCCCTGGTCTTTCCCCGAAGAACCTCCGGCCTAACCTCACATGCGCCACAACTCACTCGCGATCAATCCCGAGAAAAGTTGGCACGATTCACGGCGCGGTCCTCGTAATGCACGCTCTCGCGTGAATGCGGCTTTTCCCCGAATCCGACGAGCCTTGCGAGCTGACCCCGACTCGGTTCGGCTCCCGACAAGATGACGGCGTTTAGCACAACACTCACCGGGCTGCTTGTTGGCGATCTTATTGAAGCAGTTTTGAAAAACCTCGTAGAGATGCATCGGCTCGTCGTCGCTGGCCGCCATGTTTCCGAACATCCAACGGGTCGGTTACGCGGAGCGGCCGCGCGCGGAGCCACCCACCCGACGTCACTCACACTACTGAACTCCCAACGTCCGAGCAGCGGCTTCTTATAGTCTCGATGGTCGCGCCGCCGTGCGGACGCCGCTCGAACCCTCCGACGCGCTCCCCAAACCGCGCGGGTAATTCAGAATTCAGATTCGATTACGCCCCGTGAAAAATCCTCAATTTGAGAAATTCTCATTGATTGGAAGATTACGGTTCCACCGATCACGGTTCTCGGAGAATGATATCACCGAGAGAGAAATTAACGAACGCCAAATGTTCCTTTAATCTCGATTTGAGCAACAGGTGCGTTCAGGAAGCGTGAATAAATTAATTTCAGCCGCTGTCCTTTTTTAGACTTTAAAATATTCATCGAATAACGATTCGTTGCGTTCAGAAAAGTGGGAGATAATTTTGTTAAACGGTCATCATCTAATTAAAATGTAGCAGTAACCTATTAACGCGGTCATTGACATCAGAGATGACGGTCGTTAAACACATTACACAAACGACGCTATCGTAATTACTGTTCAATCGGAATAATTAGTCCAGTCGCTCAGGAAATCAGACAAATAAAAGTGGTTTGTAACAACACATTGCAAAACAAGCTTCTGAAGGAAATCATAGAGAATCTTCCATTTCATTTGCCTTCCTGAATATTTCAACTAGAAGAGCAAGCTTTTTCTCGTCCGAAAAGTAGGGATTTGAATTTGTTAAACATTATTTAAATATTAAGACATATCTTTTTATTATTTCAGATATTTATCGACGCAATGTTTCCTGAAAAAAGGATGTACGGGAGAATGAATGGTTTTGTTGGCAAGACACTTATTCGCCAAGACATTTATTAGAGTGTCATAAGTAAAAATGCTACTACAAAGAATATCTTTCATTCCGTCTACGCATTAAAGCTTAAAAGACCACACGTATCGTCCGATGCATTTCTAGGCAATTGCGTCTATTTGCAAGCTGATGACAATTCACGGTTGTCTCTCGGACTGCTACCTTCGTCATAACAGCTCCAAAGAAATCGACATCATTGAACTGACACAGTATTTTTTCTTTGATCTTTTGATAAATGCAAAACAATATTTGTGTTCCTCAGCTTGTCGATGGTGACAATTCTACCTTCATTATTGTACATTGCCTCAACATTAAAACATGTATCTCTCTTGTGTTTACTATATAGGAATCAGCAATAAACTTATAAAAATTGAAAAATATCTGACTGACATCCAGAATTAGATACAAATACAATATAAATGCTACATAGGATTTTAAACAAATAATTCCACGGTTCGACATAATGATTTTGTATCTTTTGCTGTCACTTGAAGCAGTCTCTTAGTATAATGTTCATCGCTCTTTACGAATGTTTCACGTCCATTTCAACTACACCTTCTTGTAAATTTATTACGGATATTTTCAAATATACATATCAATAAAGACAAATATAAATACGAGTGCGACTCGTTATCTCCTCGCATTCATCCAATCTTCGATAACTAATTTCGTAATTAACACCACACTCCTTTCATATTTCTTTTGTTACATCCTTTAGTAATTCTTGATGAAATTAATTTGCAATATTTTGTACAGGCGAGTACATCTCCTATCAAACTGGTTGATCGTATAATTAACAACTACTTTCTTCAATAAAACTAGTCCTTGACACTTTCTAATCTAATAATATAAAGAAGGTAATAGCCAGTATTTGTAAGGCTCCTTAAAAATATCAGCTTCTTTCACTAAACGCATTTCTTATCACGATGTTTACAAGAGGCATCTGTAGCCCTGGACAAATGAATGTTAATTATGCCAATTAAAATACATACATAATGACTTGTTAATTATATTTTGATTTCATGTTCCAAAGAAATTTCCTCGTAATTCCTTCAAGGGCAATTGAGACCTTTAAAATTAATATCATGATCACTTCATATGTCCATGGATACCAGTTGCTTAACTTATTCTAATTCCAATAATTCGAGAGTTTTGTTATTTATGTATAGTCGAAGAGACATTATCCTTACGAGTTATTATACTGTACAGTCGTACAAAGCTCTGCCTAACAGGCCGAACTCCGAATCTCGCAAAAGAACGGTTTCCGCCGAGGATTCTCCGTGGTACCTTCAGATCCAAGAAAAGTCAGAATTCTGAAGGATAACAGAGTCCGTTCAATAATTTCTCTGAGATCCTTACATCTGGGTAAAGTCGGTATAACCGGGGACTGGCTGCGATATGTCCTCGTAATCTTCACGTCCAAAGCCTAAAGGTGAAGGTACAAGAAGATTGTCGATGTAGCCAATGAATTCAAAGAAAAGTGCAGAAAGAAAATAGCAAAGTTGCATAGAATTTCCAAACCAAGGGAGAACCTAACGAACGTATGAGAGGAGATATGTACAAATGGAGTCGATATGCAACTATTCTACAAACGAATGCTAACGACAGTGAAAGTAACATATACGGATACAAACTACGGGAATACAAACTGTACACGGTGCAAATAAATAAAACGAACGGAACAACTTTGGTACAAACATTAAATCATTTATTATCATTCTATTGTCATAACTATTAATAATAAATCATTACAGTCTGGCACTTGGAGCTACCATTAACACTGATAATTATTTTATAATCAACAGAACAATAATGTATGTGGTTGTGAAAATCATTTAATGTAAAAAAGTATACTCGATTCCTTCGTTCGAACATAGTTATTGAAATTAATTATACCTTCTTCATTAGTAAAAACGTACCAATTATCATTAACTTTTGAAATTGCAGATTAGTAAATTAAAAAATTGAAAAAAGCTACAAGTACCAAGAAATCGTTGATTTCACTCGAAACAGACCAAGCAAATTGCTGCATGCAAAATTAAAGGGTTGAGTAAAAGAGCAAGAGGTAACTTATACTTTCTGAGAAACAATAATTTCTCGGATAAAAATGTATATCATGAATACGTTAAGCATGATCATGGAAATTGCTTGTGCAATCTCTGATGAATAATACATATTTCATTGAAACTTCAAGCACTATCTCGGAAAGGAGCCATTGCAACTCAAAAGTGAGTCATGATGATAAAATTGGTCAAAATTTCTCCAAACAAAACATTTTTCTCATAATAATCTCAAAAGAGACGTTACTTTTCTTCTTAGAAAATACTCCAATTTGTACGAAAGATCAGAAAAGTTTTTAGAGAAATTCTGAATCATTGAACTACAGATACGCTGCCATAAAAGCATAAAGTAAAGAAATTTGGTTCATTTGTAGATAATTATTCTAAAAGCAAACTAAAACCTTGTTTCACCAGTGGTGTAACTGATACGCTATAAAACAATACAAGTATGGTAGCGAAAGGATAAACGTTATATACACGTCACATTATACTGTACGAATTCTTGTACATCGTTCATAATTGTTAATAATAATGCTGTTAATATAATAAAATTAATGTGTATAAAAATAAGTTTTCCTTTCAAAACATGTTACTCTATAATAAAGTCTTCTTAGTCTCCAGTTTTAGTTACACCACTGGTTTTCACACAGAATGTTACTGACCCATCGTAGGGCTCAGAGTGAACATCCCTGCAAGCATTCCTCCTCTTGTCTGGCCAACACGTAGTAGCACAAATGTAGATACCACTCTCACGATCATATTGATGATCAAGAAAGCAGCACTGAACTTCTCAGATGCATCTATAAAGTGACACAATCATGATAAATAAACAGTCTATGATATACACGTGGCAATTTTGGAATCTATGCTAAACTATAGGATATAGTTTTTTTTAAGCAGTACTGTTAAACTTACAAGACGATGATGGAAAATAGATGGAGAGTATGATCACATCGAGAAGTATTGATAAAATGTTTACTATGAGAGCCTAAAAGACAGAGGAATTATATCATTTATCGTTAACATGGTACTTTATAATTGAAATGGACACCATGTTTGCATACTTACAAGCTGAATAGGCTCATCTGACTGCCCATTGTGGATTGCCCAAAGCAGACAAACAAAAAATACCAGATTGTATAACATTGCTGACGGTGGACACCATGCTCCTTGAACTGCCCTGTGTAATTGATAAAGTAGTTTTTTTCAAGAACTCTCCATGGAAATGAAGATACTACCATAAGATTATTACTTGCATAGAATGGATCTTCTCTAAACAATGACATGGATATTTAGAAAATAAAATATAATTTGAATATTATGTACTGTACTAGGCTCGACCTAAGATAATATTTGTACAAATATTGCTGTAGTTATTTTTAATTTATTAATAAGTATAGTAGACTTTCACATTATCTGGAAATTCTTACCAACTGATGAGTACAAAATGAACTGCAAATATGATCTGAAAAAAGTGACATAACATCAGTCGTAAATAAATAACAGGTACGATGAATATATAAACTTACATTAAACAAACATTGCAATTCTGTATTATCTAAAAGATTGATACAAGATCATCTCATTAAACTACTTAGATTAATATGAAAATGAGCTTTTCATGAAACCCGTTTGACGACTTCTTGGCTCGTGTTTCAACACGTCATTTATGTAATGAAGTAGGATCAAAAGACAAACGAAAGCATTAGAAAAATAATAATTAAGCCACAAATGACCTTTATGAACAGATGATAATACCTTGCACTACTTACGCACATAACAAACCAGTTATATTTTTATAACAACGATGAGGATTTTAAATAACAAGCAAGTATATTCACTTATTACAGTGCAGAGACAAATAATCGGAAAATAAGACATTGGAAAACCATGTAATACACATGTTAAAGAATTAAAAATCATTCAATATTACATAATTCCAACATAGCGATAGCGAATTAGGGTTATAAGTGAATCCATTATTAGTCATTGACGAAGCTGAAGCAGTTGTCACCAATGCAGGAAGAACTTTCATAACAATAAGCAATGTGCATCTTGTCTGTATTTATAGTCAGCCACCAAATTGAACGAAAGTGTACCAAAAAGCTGTAAATTAAATGTCACAGAAATGAAATATAAAACAAATAATAACACACAATGCTACAAGCATTCGCAGTAATAAATCACTCGGTACACTGTCCTGTAAGGTTATGGTGATAAGGTTAAGAGATAAATGAAGTCATTACCAGGTGCTAACACACCTAGAACAATTGTTGGGCCGACGAAGCGCGTTAAAATGGTGATGAGATTGATGACAAATGACAATGAATGTATACCTTTAAAGGCAAGTGAAGTAAATCCGACATCGTTTCCAATTGATTTCACACAACACTTTGACAATACCTCTCCTAATTAAAAAATACCGAAATAATTGTTCAACCGTCAAATGCTACCTACAGACGATAGATATTTAGCTCGGTTTCATTACAAGTTTGCATGCAACTGATACCGCTGATACCGTTAAAAATCACGACTACAATGAACATGAAGGCGTCAAATGGTCAGTGCATTGCATACGTTGCATACTTACCGACGTAAATACGAAGTGGGAGTATGGCTACCATGACGGGACATTCCAGCGTCTTGATTGGTCGATTCCAAATCCGCGCCGACCAATGAGCGAGCAGCTTGAGCCGCGAACAATTCAAAAGAAGATCACGACCGAAATTGTAGTTTAAAACGCATATTTCCTTAGATAATCCCGGTATCCGATACCGACTTACTTATCATTGGTCACCAAATGATACCCAGTATTAACGTGAGATATATTTAAGGTTCAACTGACTAAAATTATAACTTTATTCTTAGTTTTACAGTAGCGAGCCCGTTGACAGACACGAAATCACCCGTTGTTGATCAACAAAGGAGACTCCCGAGGAATCTGAACCCCTGATAAATAACCAGGGTCAACCTACGATTCCTAGTCAACAGAAGCTACGAATGAATCACTGCCGAATTTTAAAACGAGTTCCGATATCTTCTAGTATCCTGTGGATCCGTATTAAAAGTGACTCATTCTGTTAAACTGCACAAAAGTAAGACTTCGTACCTTCTTCCTTGCTCAGTACTGCTCAGTATATGTCACAACAGCCGACGTGAACAGTGCCTACGTGAAAAAGTGAACGACTAAATTGATCCTCTTGAAAGATTCCTAAATTTCCTTAATAATATTGCAGATCCTTGTGGAAATATTGTAGAAGTATTTTACACAACTCCCCATAAACCCTCGATTTTGTAAACGCTTAATAAGTGGATAATGCTAAATGTTTTGCAGCAATGGGTAAGTACGAATATCTTTGCGACACATTCTAAATATACAATTGCGAATTTTGTTATTCCTATTATTCAGAGTCAGCGATTATTCGGGAGGAGAAACTCAATCCACGCAAGTATCAAAGGAAGTATGACGTCCTCGACAAATGAGCCAATCAGAATGCAGAGCGAGGACCCACGTGAGCTCCCGCGACCAATCAAATTCTCAAAGTCCTCGAACATGTCCAGCACAGAAAACATTTCTGGATGTTATACCAATATCGCTTGTGAAGGTATGCCACATATAAAGCTACGAAAATAAAAGAATTCTTTCTAACGAAAAAAAAACCGCATACACTTATGTCAATCCAATTGTGCAATTTCGAAATTTCTGTCATAAATGTGTTTCTTTTTTCTTTTTCTTTTTTTCTTTTTCTTTTTGGAAAGAAATACGGCATTTGATATTTCTTAAATGTTTTTCTTTCTGTCTTCTAGACGACGATTTCGATGCTGGGTGTTCTACAGACTCGGCATGCACATGCACAAACTGCACTACTTTGATGACTTTGACAGAATGTGGAGTGTGCATGGAACCGCTTCAGGGTCGAGAAGTGCAGGCCTGCACTTTATGCTCTAATATGATTTGCAATTTTTGTGCCTCGAAGCTGCCATCCTGCGCATTTTGCAGGTCGATCCTATCCACGACGAGGAACCGAGCCATGGAGAGGCTGCTTGATAAAATGCATCTGCCTTGCCGCAACTCTCGGTAACAATTAATAGCACGTGTTAAAAAATACATACTAAAGACTTAGCGTCGCAAAGAAAACGCGATGAAGGTTCAACTCGAGGATTTCGTCTTGTTCAGGTCAGGATGCAAAGTTATCGTGAATCGGGACAGCAGAGCACGACATGAGTCGACCTGTAGTTTCGCCACTATCAGTTGTCCAGCAGGAAGAAAAGTTTGCGGCTGGTATGGAACTGTAGTTACAATAGAAGCCCATCTGAAGAAGGCTCATGGATTAATACCACTTATTAACTACGGAATTACTGTGGAAATCGCTAGTTTTTGCGAAATCGCTCGAGCTAGGGAAGGGCGCCTCTACACGGTAAATATTTTCACGAGTTATTTCATGAATTTTGTATAATTCATGTTTAATTTAAGGGATGCAGGATATATTTTCAAAGAAACGTTGAACACATGGATAAACTAATCCCTTTGCTTTGCAGGTTTGCTTGTCATGCTACGATCAGCTGTTTATGGTGAAGGTCATACTCTTCCAAGACAAGCTGAAACTCTCCTTCACGCCCATGGGATACGTTCGGTCGATGAAACAATTAAATCTGACGAAATATGGAGTCTTTCTGTATGTGCATGGTATCGATAGGCACCTAAGAGTGATTTTGCCCTTTGAAAACAATCAAGGGACTTTGAATATCGAAATCACCTGTGCCTGCTTGTACTCTTCACTTTCCGAGAGTTCACTTGGGAAATCCGTCAAATTAGACATCGTCATTAGACAGATTGAATCCGACGTTAAGGGAACTCTGATTATTACTAACAAATTGGACTATACGAGCAGAGGAACTTCCATCACGGATTTTTAAGTTATCTTTGAATTTCTTTCCAGCTCAGGAAAGAGGATGATACAAATAATTGTTGAAATTATTTCATAACGCAGGAAAATGTGCAAAATGTCCATGTTAGTAATCGATCAATATACATGGTTACTGTATTTATTCTATTTATTGAGTAGGCAGGACATATAACTTAAACGTATTTATATTTGTTCGGTCATCGACTTGCCAGTCCATGTCCTTCAAAATATAAAAAAAAAACATATGATGCGTGCTATCATGTTATATTGAGAAGTAATACTTAACAAAGCTTCTCTTGGAAAACAAAACGCGCATTGAAACATTTAATACAAGATATTAATTATTTGGTATTCTTATACAAATCAGTATTTTATATTATACTCGATTACAGAGATACCTTTCTAGAGCATTGAAACGTTCATCGTTAGTTCCACGAAAGTTGACTCGCACTTTCATTAACCTTTGTAATCTATTTATATTGTTATATAATTAACTTGTAATCGGCGTCGATGTAAGCGTCCGGTACGTTTATGAGTCATATGACTATATTGATTGTTAAAATGTAGAGCCAGTCACATTTTTCACAATGTTTCTCATTGTCTACGAATATTTATTATTTACTGGCTTCCATTGAAAATTAATTGTTAATGAAAATGAATAGTTTAAAAAAAATACATTCTTACTGTAAAGTACCTTCCAAATAATAGGCCATTAATGTATTAATTATAAGCAAAATTATTAATATTAAAAGAGTGGATAGGGATAGACAGTAGAGCGAGATGACTCGATTTGCATTTTTATACGAGATTTTATACGTGAGTTCGTATTATCTACTATTAATAAAATGCAGGTAAGTTGCTATCTGATAGCATCTTCTGCTGATAGCATAAAATGGCGCAATGGTAGAATGTGGATATGATTCTTATAGATGGTAGCTCATGTCGCATGAACAATCTCCTAATTTGACTTAGTCGTTGGACTATCTATTCTTTTTTTATCTCGTGGCTGCGGCTCAACGGTTTCCCCCTTTCTAGCTGCCTTTCGCGGCGCGTATTAAAGAGTGACACCGAGAGGTTTTCGGCAGGTTCGTAATCCATCGATATCTTTGCAATCTTGCATTTTGCAATTTTGCAAAGAAATAAATAAAGAGCCTCTCACTTTTCTTCGAATGTGTCACGTATGATGGAAGTGATTAATCACAGTGACAGAATTTGTACCCATACCAAAAGAGGGTTAGGTTTTGAACCCGATTCTACAAAAATGGAGTTTGGGTCATAATTGTAACAGTTAGGCCCGGATATAACATTATAGAGAACGTTGCGAAATGTTAATTGATTCGTTAAGAACGTAATCGCTAGTGTCACAACTTTTTATGTCATTTTCAGCCACCATGGGGAAGCGTAATAACATGATCCCGAATGGGCACTTCCATAAGGACTGGCAGCGATTTGTCAAGACATGGTTCAACCAGCCAGCCCGCAAGTATCGCAGGAAACAAAACCGTGTCAAGAAAGCACGTGCAGTTGCCCCAAGGTTTGAAATTAAACAGTTTCGATCAATGATTACCCATAATTGGAATTGTATCGCTAACCAAAGACTGCTTCTACTTTAGGCCTGTACATTTACTGCGACCTATTGTTCACTGCCCGACATTCCGCTACCACTCAAAAGTTAGGGCAGGTAAAGGATTCACTTTGGATGAATTGAAAGCAAGTGGGTTGAACAAGAGATTTGCTAGTACAATTGGAATTGCCGTTGATCCTAGGAGGCGCAACAAGTCTGTAGAGTTGTTACAGACTAATGCTCAACGTCTGAGAGAGTACAGAGCAAAACTAATTCTTTTCCCACTTAACAAGAAGAAGGTACGTTACCTCATTAAATAAAATAAACTATCGTGTACATTGGAAGTTACTTTATATTTATTGTTTTCATCTCTTTAAATAGGTGAAGACGGGTGAAGCCAGTGAAGAAGAATGCGGATTGGCCACTCAGCATAAGGGTGATGTTATGCCCGTGCGTCATCAAGCACCTATTAAGGCAAAGGCACGTGTAATTACTGATGAAGAGAAGAAATTCTCTGCTTATATCACTCTTCGCAAAGCAAGAGCCGATGCAAGATTAGTAGGAATACGAGCAAAACGTGTTAAAGATGCTGCTGAAAACCCTGACGATGTAACTAAAGTGGCTAAAGAAAAGAAATCTAAAAAGTAATTAAGATCATTCTGATAAATATAAATAAAAAGCACTGACTTACTTTTCATCGTATTGGTTTTAATTAATAAGTTGTGGAGCACCTAGTTGACTGGTGGAATGAAAGGACTTATGCTGCCTCCCAGTGGAACTTCCTGAAAGTTTAGTCGCTTTATCGCTTTTGTACATCACATGGTTCCTCCATTATGAACTACGTATATTCTTTTTTAATGGAAAACTTTAATGAACAGCTGCTTCAATGTTAAAATATTTTGTTCCTCTACTCATTGTTTTCTCAATTAATTTATATTTATGAAATGTGAAATGTTCTAACTGGTTAAGAAGAGAATTACGTTGCAAGGATACCATTTTTAGGTTATGTAGCAGTCAGAGACAAATTACAAGGTCAACTCAGCTGTTTTGTAGGAATTATTAGATTTGAAAAAGTTACTCCCAATCTTTAGATGACCTTATCAGTTAATGACTGTATCACGTACCTTTTATTTTTAATTAATTTCCATTAGAACATTTTGTTAATGCAGTATGTTGAGTACGATGGGAAATCTACTGCGTTACAACATCCAATTACTAAAACAATGCGAATCTTTACTATATTCAAGTAATAGTCGCAATAGTCGAAATTATGCGACATATATACAGGGACAGTGCCCAGAGCCCCGCGTAAGAGAATATTTTTATTACATCGATCATCAAGGAATGGTACGTGCGATAACTACATAATAAATATATCAAGGTATAACGAATATAATGTAACAGCATAACTATTATATTTATAGTTATTCCTTGATGATTCTCGTATGAAGAATTTTACATCTTGTTTCAAAGGTATATCATTATTTTATGGATATAACTCGTCATGCCTCTGAAAGATATTGTCTCTAATACAAGTCAATCCTCATTTCAGATAAGAAGTTCTTAGCATTCTTTTTCAAAAGACTTAGGACAAATAACTTAGAGCGGTACAAAGAATTTCCTTACATATCCCTTTGCGGTCGTGAAAGGAATTTTGTTCGATGCGATGATCTTCCAATAGTGTTTACACATATCATTGAGCGACATAATGTAAAAAGTGGAGACATTGAGCACCTTTTTAGTTATGCTCATGCAGATGATTTATTAACGGTTTGTAAGCCTTGTCAATAACATGTTTTTTAATCTATGAAGAGAACCATGCATTAACTGTCTTAGGTGCCCTTTGAGCCGAACAAAATCTACATGAACATTAATTCTGGAAGGGTCTATCATCCCGCACCAGAAGTTGCTGGAGGTGCTGGACTTGTGACATCCAAACTTGCTATTGAATTCAGTTCATTTTTTACATTTGAAAAGGGAGAAAGGCATGGCCCAACGCATTTCACTTGGAAAGGAAGGAGGTATGATCTTGATCAGAAATGGTATAAATAAACTCTTTAAAATCTGTACAAAATTAGTGTATACATGTATATGCTGTAAAAATATTATTAAACAAAATGCATATTGTAATAAGATTTTATTTTTGATCAAATTTTGTTCTTTACAATCCATCGGCCAATACCAACAGGTGAAGATGTTTCTATAGTGCTCTGACGTACTTTAGATGGCGCTGAAAATTCTGTGAAATGTCAGCGCCATCTAAGTAACTCGTACAGAATTAAGTATACTTTTTACTTTTCTAAGAACTGTCTTAGTGGCAGCACCGGACCGAATCATTTAAATTGCTCCAAAATCAATTTATCAGCTCATCTTCCTTATCTTTCCCATTCACGAAAATGAGCGAAAATGTCAAATGAATCAACCCGGTCAGGTGTTCGAAAGATGATACAAATAGACTTGAGAGTTCTCCTCCTAGTTGAAATGATCTATTGTAAACAAAGGTGAATCACTGCAATGTGTCAAAGTTCAGCATCGCTAAAAAATCGAACAATGCTCCGTTGACATGACATGGATAGAGATAGGTCACAGTCTGGCGCCAAGCGCATGTAATTGTAGCGCAGTTTAATATAGTTTTAATACGTGTCAAGGCAAAAGGACTCGTTGCATAAACATTACGTTAACGTCTCCATAACTATACGGGAGCCTACACGTGCTTTGTTCAAAGTATAGTTTCATTTACATTATTACTGATTCTATTTCGATTCTCAGGATGTCCAAGGACACTCTGATAACAACTTGCTGATTTTCGCTGCATCTGACACAATGAGCGAAGACGTTAAAGTGAAGGAGCAATGGCAGCTTCTACAGTGTCTTCGGTCGACTGTAGAAGGTCTGCTGCTGAATGGCGTTTCCAATGTTTGGAACGTTTACGGTGGTCTTAATCGACTTCACAGTATAATGGAACAGATATTCAAACATGGTTGTCGCGTGTTTGACCCCACGGTAGGTTAAATCATTGATTTACTTGAATTATGGCCAGAGGATATTATATTTTAACATGCATTAGGGGGAACCAGATTGCTGGGTTTTCATTCAAGGATTAAATTGGCTCCAACCATCCTTGGCTACCTCTCCATCGGTTCAAGAAAGTGACGATTACCTCGCTAATTTACCCTCAAGGATAGCATCTCATAAAGACATGTTATGGCTGTATAAAAGGTATTACTTCTATGTTGTTCCTTAAATTTGTGGTGACTTCTGGGACTGACCCATGTCCATTGTCACCAGGGGGCTTACGTTTCGCAAACGTTACAGGATCACATTTCATTAGCGTCTGCTCTGATGAAGCGAACTGCAATGTTTGCGAAATGTCGACCCCCCGGCAGCAATGGACACGGGACACTCCCGGAAGCCACCATAAATTTAAGGAACATCTCAGACTGCAGAAGTTTAAAATCTTTAATTCTATGTTGTTATTACGATATGAACTGTAAGCCAGTAGCTACTAAATGGGAACTTTTTACAGTCTCGAGAATCATACATTATCTCAAAAATTATCATGGCTTTTGTCTGACAAAGAACATTTACTTTCCTGTTTGGAACCGTGGGCATTCTTGTGTCAAGAAAACTTAGCCGAAGCTACCCTCATCTGTTTGAGAGCAGTTGAAAGAAATCAACCTGTGTTTCTCACAGAAATAGATCCGACTTTGGTAATGTATTAACTAAGAGAAAACATATTTCTTCAGTTTATTGATATTTCTTTGCATACCATTTCTCATAATGCATGAATCATTTCTAGTTCCTACCAAACTGGTGCTTTAATAAAAACAGTCCAAAGAGGCACCGACGTTCTTCATCTTATCCAATAAATTTGACTGTCATGAGACAACAAGTGAGCAGCGAAGATAGTACAGCCATGATTCGAGATGTGTGTAACAAGGAATCTTTTAAAAGTCAAGCGCACAAAGGGGATGAGGCATCAGTATTGTTGAACAATAATTTAGAGAATAATAGCTTTAAAACTGCCACAGATTCTACAGTAAAAGAGGATGAAAACTCATTATTGTTAAAGACGTGGAACAGCCTTCCAGTATTAAGCAAAGAAAATATGATCCCAGAGGGGAGTTCAACGCTACCTTCGACACCGATTAAGACGAGTATCACGAGTAAAAACGTCGATCAAGATCAACACAGTTATAAACTCTCAGAAGTAATTAAGGTGGATTATTCTGACGTTAAATGTTCCACTCCGATAGTTCATGTAAAGCCGAAGCAGAAGAGTTTATTGAAGAAGTGCAGGAGTAAAACAAAAGAGAAAAATCGAACAAAACCAGAGAAAAGATCAAGCGATGGAAGCTCTGACACATTAAATTACGAAGAATCAATGAGAAACAACTTGAGGGACTCTTCACAGCAACCCGTTACGATAAAATTAGAGGATCGTACAAACGACTCAGTAGATGCAAAGACACAGCGAAAAACGAAAAGAAAAACGTCCTTCCTGCCCGGATCTGCTCCTGAGTTTACAGGATTGTGGGGTCTGGAGATCGAAGGCCAGAAGGATATTCGCACTCCGAAAAAGAGTTTTATGGAAGATGGTGGAAGTAGCGTGCAGCCAATGGCTACTGGTTATTTTCCACGTCCTACAGAAGGCCAAAGTCTGACTAGTTTCCTCTCGTCGACTCAATTCGCGCGCGCCAATGCTGAGTTGGATAGAGAGAATGCTCATTTCAGTATTTCCGAAGCAATGATAGCTGCCATCGAACAGGTTGGTCTAAAATCTGCGTCTGTCAACATTTTTTAAGTAAAATATCTAATTTCGCATTCAGCGAATTTTACATAATCAAAGATTAAGAACTTATATAAAAACAGTGGTGACTGAACCATACAAATTTCAGATCAAGTGCAACCGACAGCTACGATTGGTCGATGAAACTGTCGAAGAGAGTGACGAGGAAATAAATAATCTTAAACAAAGAATAAGGCTACGTCGTCGTCAGAAACAAGAAGAAAAGTCCAGAGCAGGAACTTGGACTCGAGATCTACTCAGCGATGGAAAGACGGATAGTAAGATGATAAGAAAAAAATCATTTTTGTCTTTTATCGATGACATGAATTGATGATAAAATTTTACTTCTATTACTCAGCAACCACAACCGATCAAAGCATAAGTCCTCTATCGACTTCTCCTGAGACGCCATCAGATAGTATCTCTACTGACGATGTCGATGACTTGGAAATGGATGATACTCAAAACCTAATGCAACTAAAAAATTCCGGTAAGGGATGTAATGTTTTCCTCAAGTATATTTAAGATAATTATGGTATTTAAAAAAAAAACTGTTACGATATTTAGGGATATCCATGTCAATGGCATCATTATACTCCAATGCAGACATATATAAAGCTTCGCCGAAACATGGAGGAGATTCAAATTTAACAGATAGCATAATATCAGCAGAAGGAGTAGCACTGTCCTTGATAAGCAAATTCAGCGAAAAGCAACTACCAAGAGCTAGTGAATTAGAATGGCTCGTTTCAGAACAAGACGCACCGCAGCAAGTAAGAACATACAGATCTGAGTTTAAAGAATTAACAAAATAAATGTTTAAAACTCATATCTTTTTAGCTACTACCACTGCCGAAAAGTTGGCCCGTCAGTCCGGATGAAGTAGGAACCAAAGACAATTCATCAGCTATTTCATTGCGTGGGACACTAGAATGGGCTCCTCCGAGACCACAAATTATTTTCACCGCACATCCACCTCCAGTGTTAGTCTTTTACAAATAATGATATCTAAGTAAGGCAGTACTTTTGAATAATCTCATTTGATCTTTTCATGGTTTTACAGGCGGAAGATACTCATTGCAAAACAGAATTACAGATGTGCCGGATGTGGAATGAAAGTTGCAGTGGCGTACGCAAATCGATTCCGGTACTGCGAATATCTGGGAAGATATTTCTGTACTGGTTGCCATACCAATCAAGTCGCGTTAATCCCTGGCAAAGTTCTATCTAAATGGGACTTCAATAGGTATTATTCTCTCCTTATTTCACAAAAACAAACGACTGTATCGGAACAGTATATATAGTGATTGAAGTAATTTCTTGCATGAATAACTGAGATAATAACGTGCATTGTTGCAGGTACCCCGTATCGAATTTTGCGTACAGACTGTTAGATCAGATGGCAGGAGATCCGCTGTTTCAAGTACAAGACTTGAATCCATTACTGTACAGGCGTGTTAAGCAGTTGGAACGTACCAGAGTATTACGTACGCAGTTATTTTTCCTTAAAGACTTCTTGTTAACTTGTCGCTTTGCCACAAGGTATTTATCCTTATTTTATCATCTCAAGAAAGGTGGATAGATTTTGCAATATTAATACGTGTTATGCGGTTTAGCATTCAAGAGACTCTAAAGAAGGAACCAAAGTACATGTTAAGTGATCCCCACGTCTACTCCATTCAGGACTTGTTCCAAGTTAAGACTGGTTTGTTACCTGCGAGATTACAAGACATCGTTCAAGCTTGTCGAACACACGTGTTAGATTGTGAGGTAAGCATCTAAATTGCAACTAAATTTTAATGACTCTCCCTTTCTTAATTGAAATAATAAAATTAAGTACAGTAATTATCCAGTGCCACGAGTGATTCGAAAGAGGACATTTTTTTTCCCAATTCTCTTGTTCGCAGTTGTGCCAAGCCAGAGGTTTCGTGTGTGAACTGTGTGGTTCCAAAGACGTCATATTCCCCTGGCAATTGTTAAAAGTAATTAGATGTGAACAGTGCGGTGCGTGCTTTCACATAGGATGTAAAGAGATTTCAACGAAAGCAGAATGTCCCAGATGCACAAGGCTACAAGCCAGACGTTTATCAAGAGAAGTGTCGCCTTGACGTCAAGACAATTTATTTCGCATAGTTAATTCGAGGATCACGGGTAATTAAATTATTCCCGAACGAACTGAAACATTAAGCCCATCGAAGTGAACGGTGTAAAAACATCACTGTCCTGGTCAGGACTATTTTATTTATTCTATTCGAGATGCTTTATAAGTGATCGCAAGAATTTGCCGACTGAACATTTCCCTGGTATTCAAAAAACTATTAGGAAGGTTTAATTACGTTTTGAGTAACAAAACGCGCTAGCGAGTATCGCACCTCATCAAATCGTTGCACGTGTAAATAATTACTACTTCTATCGATAATACACTTAGCATGAAAGTCAATGTTGAGGGAAGGTTTCGATTAGTCAGACAAAGAGTATTACATAGAAGATTGTTGTGTAAAACACCTTAAGAGATTATTGATTTATGAACAAAACGAGTTCATCGAACGAAGAAAAATTAACATTCCTTGATGTTAAATGATCGATAAGGCAGTATGCGCATCACGAAATGCTAGTTTTTGTTAGTACATTTTACTCGTCCTGTTCTCGTTCATAATGAGTAAGGACTTCAATTTTTGACAATTTATGTATATATACCTAGTTTTATGTCAATAATGAAACTTCATATGCTCGATACATTATGCTCAAGAAACAGAGCAGTACACTACTGTAAATATTGTTTAATTTAAACGGTTTCGTTATTTAATATTTGATTCAAATTTATTGTTGTAATGTTATAAAATGGATAGAGTACCTGTTGCGTGTCATTATGCGTTATTTAAATTTATTGCTATATAAATTAGTTCTCTATCGTGCTTTCATTTCTGCCTCGCTAATTTCAAGTGTTTTTATTCTATATCGATTTCATTAAAACTTTTTATCTTTAAAGTATACAGTGTAGTAAGTCTTCAGATGCGCAAAATTAGGATGACAGATAAAAATTGTGATGATTGATTTTAACTCAATAGTTTCTAATGGCTAACTAGATAGTAGAAACTCGTGTCTTAAAAACGTTTTTTCACAAACTCGCATCAATGCGAACGACGGATGAAATTACTTTTGTATTTAAAAACTGTTACAAATAAACATTTTCCACGTAAATTATCTTGTAGCATTTTTTATTGCACCGACTATGCGAAAAATAGCCTGAATCACGCATACATAAGGAATTGTAGAATAAAAGAAATCGAGAAAAAGTATGATAAGTAATAGTGTAGAAGGATCGATAGTATCATTATAATTGCCGCAAATCTAGAGGGCGGCGACATCGTCATACCATGATTTTATTAATTAAATTAAGATCTCATTGATATAATGATCCACATACACACCTTTGTAGACACTAATACACTTATTTGATGGTAAAAAAATAGTACACTATAATAACAATTATTTACACCGCGTAATTTACGTAATGGCACATTTGCCTGCACATGCATTCTTACATTCATCTTATTGGCAGTAATATGCTGGTTTTAAAAGCAACTTATGTACATTGCTTCTACACTCGCAAATTGGTCTTGCACTTTCGCATATACGAATTTAACTTACTTATAAAATATATAAACTATCATAATGAATCCCTTGTTATTTCTCTTTTGACAATGTATACAATTAAATCCACCGAAGCAATTGAAATTAAAACCAGTCTGGTTTTCCTAGGGTCAGCAAATTTATTTCATTGGATCGACTTGTTTCTCCTAACTACATGTCAGTCAAATTGCAAACCAGCATTGAATTCTTTAATGCATATGTAATAATGCTTTGCTTGGTAATAACTAGGACGTGCAAAAAGCATGCCTTTCAATGTATTCCTTCCTATCCAATATCTGTGAAATTTTATCCATCGGAGTTACGCGTAATTGCGTTTAAATTTTCGACCTTTCGTAGTTCACTGGTTATAAGAAGTTATACAGACTAAATTGATTAAACCAGCGGTTCTAAAGATGACAACGATTTTGTTGTATATCGACATATCACAGATCTTTCATGCGGACACTGGTGCAAACGACAATCAAATTAAATTACAAATTGATTCTATACTAACGTTAAACTGTTAAAATAATTTTCTGTGGTCGGAGCAAATTTCCGTCAGTCAGACATGAGACTTCACTACGAGCAATTTGATCAATTTACTTTTTCTTCAAAATTGGTATTCTTAATTATTGTCTATTCCCTATCAATCAATTTTTCCCTAATACATTCCTGCCAATGCCATACGCCGTCTACTCTTACTTAAAACATTCTACGAAAATTCTTTAATCTTGATCGGAACGAAATAATTATTCACGTAAAACGTCACAATTAAATTTTCTATCTCAGAAATTCTAGACATATTGCCGATACATTTCGTCTGTCTTTTGATAAGTATTAAATCCCTGCGCTGGTCGACGTCATGTTTACCGTTGTTATCAGTCTGAATAAAGTGTAATAATAATGCATAACAATACGCCACACTTTTGACATGCCAGCAGCATGGAATATACAACGTCCACCATATGTTATGGCTTTTGTATTTCTTCTGATTTCGTCAAAGTCAATTGACAGGTCCATCGGCACTATATATTCTCCACATTATTTTAATTTATATTACAATTTAATTTATTAAAGTAACGGGAATGAACAATGGATAGTGCCTGTCAGAGTCTTAAAAATAAAGGGGATTGAAAATACATTCGTTAAAAAAAGACTGTCCTGAGAGAGGTCATAATAACGTTATCAAGTACAAAAGCGTGGCGCTATAATAAATTTCTCAACAATAAAGAAAATCAAAATAATTTACAAATACTGATAGTGTCGAGTCAGTTGTGAAGCTATTAGTATGTATAAATAGGTGTACAAAAATAGTATCTGTAAGTTGTTCCTGACAAATTCTTCCTCACCGATAGAATAGCCTATGAGTGGGCACTTGGGATTGTTTTGACCCCTAAAAATTACTTCCTCGGGGTAAATAGAACGTCTAAGTTTTACCTCAATATGACATGCTGAGGAGTAGGCCCTCGATCTGCATTCCAATGAGGTTCTCTTTGTTCAATCTCTTTGGAATGTACCAAAGAAAGTCATTGCTGCACAATCAGCCATGTATCTGTCTAGAATCGTAGTACTCCCTTAAGGCAGACTAAACTACACATTTAAAACATCTTTCAGTGGCACCTTTGCAACTTCAAAGTATATCCTGAAACAGAATTAAGTTGAGGAGGAAGTCAATATTAGTAGTAGCAGAGATTTCTGGATTACTATTATTACTCCTTCAATTGGCTAGATCTTTTTATTTACTTACTTATGGCTATATTTATTGCGGACCGTTGCAAGGCCTTCTTTATGTTTTCGATGCAGTCCTTGATTCAACACATTCATAATATCTCTGAAATCGTCTACTTTGTATCCAGTATAATATTCCAAAGTAGGAGTCCACCCTCCGAGATCTTTCATTTGCAGTGCAAGGAGAAGTGCAGCTGCTGCCATTTTACTATCGCTGTACATTATTGTTGCATAGTCCATCAGTGAGTACTCCAAAATGTATCGGGCTAAAGTTAATGTTGGCATGGACAGTTTGGCACACTGTTCACAGGAGAGAATGAATTAAATTACAACTAGATATACTTGTATCTTTGAAACTGGTAATTCTTTTCCTTCAATTAATACTGACTCTGGCATATCGACGAAGAAACCTGTAGGAAAGAGGTATTCCAAGATCGAAGTCAACTATTTTCAGGACATTCATTTCCATTCTAATTAATTCTCGTTGTGTGTATGCACCATCACATATGTACAAGAAGTCTTCTACCATTGGTGGTATTCTCTCCTGTGAAAAAAGTTGTTTTTCAATCTTCCATAATTCTTGTGACAATTAACATAAATGTAATAAAATACTTACGTCAAATTTGCTAGCAATAAACAGACTTGCTGCACCCAAGAGCTGGAGCGTTTCTTTTCCAACGGTAACTTTGGTCAAGTAAAGATCAACCAGTTTTACTGCTAGATACAAAGTCTCATGGTTCAGTTCAAAGGACTCTTGGACCTCAACCATCCAGTCAACAAGCAACGACCTCATCCATCTTGAAAGGCACACCTGTCTTTCTATGTAATCACCTATGGGGAAATGACTTTCTCTTTCTTTAAGGTAGTTAAAAATGTCCATTGCATATGGAGAGACTTGATAAGGATCCAACCAGTTTTCCACATCAAAGTCCCACTGAACTCCTTCTGGTAACTGTCTTTTCGGTGCCGCATTCAGTCTTAACACAATAGATTCTGCTTTCTCTGTGGTTGCAGGACTTTGTGTCTTTTCTTCAGCTAGTTCTTTCTTTACTTCTGGAATTACATCCTTATTTTCGTCCACATTAATGTTAGTTCGAGTAGTCTTCTTCCCACTATCTGTAGAAATTTCTTCTAAGGCACTGACATAAAGCGAGCCATCTTCTGATTTCTCTAAGTCAAGACTCCGTCGAACATTGACAATTTTGCTAGGAACTTCCGCTTTCTCATCATCTTTCTTAACAGGTTTCACTTTAGGTACTGGTTTTGGCTTAGCTGGTACTACATTGTCAGGTTTTCCCAAAATCTTTTCAAGAGTTCGCAATGAACTTGTCGGTACAATTGGTTTAGTTTGTGTAACAATTGCTTTTTTTACAAGTTTTTTTGGTTCATGAAGTTGTGCTCCAAATGATTTCCCAATAGCCTAATGAAATAAAATAAATGAAATGTCCATGAAAACTATTTTGTAATTATCTAAAATATGGTACATGGAACTATTCTATATGCTTACATTAGTAATATTTCCCAGTGCCGATCTCTTAGTAGTTTTTTCTTTGAGTGGAGAGGCATCAGCTTTCCGTTTAATTCTAGGATCTTTTATAACAAGTGGCTGTTTAGCCAACGTATTTGAGACTAGTGAATTCTGACTCCGTGTAGTAATTCCTTTACGGAGGCCCATAGTATTGACATTCTGTTTGTTCTGCCCATTTAATACTTTAGGAGGTGCCATTTTAATAAAAATGGTAACTCGGCCGTGTCTCACTCAATGGCTCCTGAAAAAAACAAGAGTTCATATGCAAGACACATAATTAAAATTCTTTGGTAAAGCCCCAAAAAAAGAAACAATATATAATCAAAAGTAATAAAATAATTTACTCACAAGATACAAACTTCGTTACTATTTCAACCTCAAAATATTATATGACAATAAAGTGGAAGTAAATTAGATGTTATTTGGAGGAAATTTAAAATGGCCTGAGTCCAACTAAGAGCTCTTGGAGTAACAAGATTTTACGTGAGTAGTTCCCTACGAAATATGCGCGAAACATCTCAACCGAATTTCAATTAACGAAGCAACAATATTTCTCTCTCGACCCTTTCGAAAATAATTGGGAGTTTCTGTCAGTAAACCGAAGTAATCTCAGAGACTTTCCAAGGAAAACGAAACGCTGCCGACATCGATGGCTAACGAAAAAAACGCGGGAAGGTGAGCCGACTATGTCTCGGAAAAAATAAACCCAAGAAAATCCGTGCCAAACGTTTCGACCATTAATGCGCGGATTCTGCCTCGTCCCCTTTCTCCGGAACGTATACAATCCGACGAAAAATAGAGAAAAAAAGTCACGAGGTCGTAGAGGAAGCCACCATTACGAAATTCCAAAACAGAAACACTCGTTGAAACGTCCCATGGTTTTCAGGAAACTTCGATTGAATTTCGCGAGCCGGAGATCCGAGGAAACTCGAAAGATTACCTGCAGAATAGTTCAATGATCCTCGTATCCTGGAGGAGCAATATTTCTCATTTACGAGGTCCGTTTTCCTACCCGTACCTTACTTTACTCCTCCAGGCGTCTTGCGAGAACAACTGAAGTTGACGGTGGTTCAAAATATCACGGTTACGGACAAGGACGCCTGCGATTGGTCGAGCTATAACAGAACTGACCAATCAGAGGAGTCGAAGAGTAGGAGCACGAGTAATGCCGCCACGTAGTATTAACGAGAACTACTCGGGCATAGATCATGAATATATCACGCAGAGATGAGTTGGGAGATTGCTCACGGGCAGGGTCGCGCGATC